AGTGAGGGAGTGGGCTCTGGAGGGGCCTGGTTTGAGCTGGAGTGGTGGTGGTGCTGGGCTGAAAGGAGGGGCGGCCTCACCGAACACCAGCAGGTGCACCGCGTGCTGCCACGTGCGGGTGCCGCAGGAGCCCACGCACACGTGGGTCCCCGTCGCCGCCAGCGAGGCATTGCGCACGCTCAGGACGCTGACCCCCGGGCCGGACCGCACGGCACCCAGACTGGTGTCCAGGCCCCGCCACTGCACCGAGGCGGCGCGGCCCGGGCAGGCCAGGCGGCACGTGAGCTGCCGAGACCCGCCTACCTGGACGACCACTTCGGGCTGCGGGGGGTCCACCTCCAGAACCTGGCCTGCGGGGTCAGACGCAGGCCCTCAGCCCCGCGCGACCCCCGAAGGTGCGAGGACCGGGGTCCGGAACCCAACCCTGCTCTGTCTGCACACCCACCCACCCCCAACACCCCTATTTCGCAGCAGAGTCCCCCAACACCCTCTCCACCCCACCCCGAAGCCCCTCCTGGGGCTCCTCCCCTTTTCCTGTCCCTCTACCTACGACCCTCATCTCCTTGTCCCCAAGGCGCCCCCCGCCCCCGTCCGCCACTTGCGTCCCCGCGCTCACCCGGGCACCGGGGCAGGCACCCCAGAAGGAACAGGGAGAGCAGGAGGGTGAGACCCCGCTCCATGCTCCGAGCCTCCTCGTCCCGCCCCTGCGGCGGGGATGCGGCTTAAGTAGTGGTGCCAGGGGCCTTCTCCCCTAGCTCTGGGGGCGGGTTTCTCCGGAGGGGGGGACTTTCCCAGCCTGACCCCTGGAGCCTCGCTTGGGGAGGTGGAGTGGGGACCCCGGGCCAAGGTCAGGACAGCTGGCAGGGCGCGGAGGTTCTGGGCTAACTCCAGGAATCACTTAGTGGGGGCCGGCGCTGGGTGTCCGTCCAGGTCAATGATGGAAAAGCCCTCGCCCCCCCCCCCTCGTCCGCCCAGTCGGCCCGGCACTTCCACGAGTGACCACGCGGGACGGCGGACAGCCTCTGCCGACAGCTCCCGGGCACGGACCCTGGCTACGGGCCGGGGAGGGGTGTCTCTCTCTGGGGGTGGGGGTCTCTGGAAGGCTAAGGATCTCTTGGGGAACCCAAATGCTGCGTAAGTCGCCATTGGGGGCCCTATCCCTCTCGGATTCCCTCTAGTCTAGCTGTCCTGTCCAGCCCCTCCGCGACCTCTGGGCCTTTGCACCCGCCTCCTCCCCGTGCTGGGACACCCCCCCCCCAGTCCAGCCCCCCATCCAGACGTCCAGCCACGGAGACCGCCGGTGCGTGACTCAGGTGCACGGCTGCGCTTGGGAGGTGAGGGCCTAGGGGCCCGCAGTACCTCAGTCTCCCCGGTTTCGGAATAAGGGGCCCGCGGGGTCAGGTTGGAGTCCCGCCAGCGCGGGCCATGTGCGTCCTGCCTTGCCCGAGGCAGTCCCAGAGGAGGGGTTGCGAACGGGGAAACTGAGGCAGCAAGGAGAGGCTGGCTGGGCTGGCAGGTATTGAGGTAGTGTGGCGGGCTGTGAACAGGGGAAACAGGTTCATAGTGCGGAGACCCCCCTGCCGGCCCCCAGCTCCCCGCGAGTCCTAGGTGTGTGAAGCCGGACCTGCGCGCCCCTGGCCTGCCCAGAGGTGCCAGGAAAGGTCGCAGGAAGTCGTCCTGGCCGGAGGCGCAGGCCCTTCCCGGGAAGCTGGGCTTTTAACCCCGGGAGAGGGGCGAAGAATGGGCCGCTTCCCCGACCCTGACCCCGCTTCCTGGAGCCCACCCTGCTCTAGACGCGGGACGGGGGAGGAGTGTCTGCTGGGGACCCGGTGACCTCATGGGGCGGGTCCGGCCC